TGGATTAGAAAAACGTCTGGGCATTATTATCTGAGGAGAGCGCAGTGCATGTAGGGCGCCGGGCCGGCCGCCATGAATATGCAAGGCGCGCTTGTCTCGACTTTCAATCCGCACAATGGCCGGCGCGGCACCGAATCCGGACCCATAACTCTCCAGTGAGCACGCGGGCAGGTGGTACGGACCGGCGCCGGCTGCAAAACACTACCTTATCGCTAAACAAGTTACAAAGAAAATATTCACTATTTCTTGCTGTCTATTAAAACCAAACCACGTTAAGCATTCATGAAAATATTGCAATCGAGCCCAGGAAGATGTAAGCTGCTAATAATCTTTAGTTTTATTGCGAAATCGTAAGTCAATCCGACATTGCAAAAAACCTGCATTACTGGAAAAGGCCTTACATATTAATCTTTGTAAATAACATTTACGATTAATTTCAGTATAGAAAAGAGTAAATAATAATTTTAAGCGACACTGCAAGGGTTTATCTATTGCAATGACAAAAGATAATAAGTATAGCGTTGTAATAACAGTCCGCAGAAGCCCGCGGCTCACGGCAGCCCACACTAAATCCAGATAATTCCTCACAGAGCGCGGTAATCGTAACCTAGCAATATTTGCCAGTCGCAAACTGATGACAGAGAATTTAATACATGCAGCTGGCTTGAATACTAGACCAGGCGTCAGGTACTTATACTAAACTAGATCTCGCACACGATTCCGTCCGCGCGGTATTAAAAAAAAAACAATTAGTAGCATATGTGTTCTTCCAGAGTATTTATACATGTATACCAAATTTCAGTAGGATCCGTTCAGTCGTTGTGGAGATACCTTCAAACAAACATCCATCCATCCATGCAAATATTCGCATTTATATTACTAAGAATAAGGAGTAAGATATAATAAAAAGTCACATACGTACAACATAGTTTGCCGCCCTAATTAAGAGTAGGTTTTTCAGTTATCTCTTTTTAAAATAAAACTCCTTGAACATAATTTGTTGCAAAGTTTTGAGCTATAACCTAAAAGAAAAGTAATTTGCTAGCCTATATTAGCCAATCAGGGTCAATTGCGATCACAATGTTAGACATGTCTCTATTGATAATAACAGGAAGCTATCGCAAAGGATTCAGGCTAGGAGGACATCGTCAAACTCCTGCGAGATAACACAATGAATAGACACGGCTAAGAGCTCGATATGAGCTATTCGCAACCTTCCGGAGCCACTGACTCCTTTATTACACCCACTTAAATATAATTTATGTCGTAAAATTAAATTTATTATACAACATTCAAAAAGATAAATGAGTTTACGAAAGGCAACAGCATTTAGTTCTTTAAGTTTGATAATTTTTTGAAGTCTTTATTTGAACTGACACTTTATAAGTTTTAGTTACACATTAATTAATGTAAAATCAATTTAGTTTATCAAATGATTTTAATAACTTTAAAAGTCCTTTGGCTAAACGTAAATTGTAAAATACCGCCCTATAATTATACCGAGAAATAATTGTATCAGATCATTAACACCAATAATTTAACGTCTAACGCCAAACCTTTGCCTATAAACTGTAATATAATTAAAGGCGCCATGTTTAATATTAAAATTTATTACGCTACAAAATAATATCGTAGCTTTAATTATCAATACCATAAAGTTAAGCACATTAACATTTTTTAGCTTGGTCAAGAGGTAACGCGCGAGGGCGTGCGATCTGCAATGTTTACGCGATGTTCTTTATGGACATGACACAAACCACTCAGTGGATACGACGTGAGGTCGCACACTTTTTATTCCTCTAACGCTACCGAAGGCCAAAACACGGTCATGCTTCCGTGAAACTATTGACAATATACTTATAACTGTTCAATGTAAAATTTAATAAAAAAAAAACTTAGTTGTTTTCAATAACATATTTACGTACAACAATTTGAAAGTGAGTGGTATAACAAAATTAATTACAAAATAATATTCGATCGATTTAACAAACATGGACATAATCAGTTGCAGTGTTATAATTTGCTCGAAGCAGTGACAATAACGTGTAACCGTTATCTGTACAATTAACGCAACAGCGGTCGTCGTGCCGCGCCCACTAATTAGAACAATCGCTCTTACTCTAAACTGCTATAACGATAACTATAGCGCTTAAAGCGCCCGATAAACGTAACAGGAGAAAGTTGTGCAGCAGAATCACTTTCAATTACAACATAACACACGCAGCGTTTAACGATCATCGCCACATTCGTAACATCATCAAACAACACCACAATAATTACTGTTAAAAAGTAAACAATTATATTTTATAGCATTAATAACTTTAATTGTTAGCAGTTATGTAGCAGTTACGGAATAACTACGCTGAATTGTGTTGTTAGTTAAACTGAATGGCGTTTATTACGTTGAATATAACTTAATTAAAGGTGAAAATGAAATTTACTTGGGTGTGTTTTAACTCTATCGGTAAGCGGAGATTTTCCTACAATATAATGCGCTTTTAAAATACTCTTTTTTAATTTTATTACGTGATGCAATTTGAGTTTAAGACACTACTTAAAAGAATCGTAAGTTCGTAAGTCGTGTCAAGTTCGATAAATGTGATAAATCAGACATTTTACGCACATTCCTGCACGCATTTTGTACTATCACTAACTATATAATTAAGCCTAATAATTTCTATTAGACAATTTATATAACTTAATACTACAACAAATTGTAAACATAATTTATTACATAAATAAAGAATACTTGGGCCGTGCGAATTCCTTCTTGTATATTTTCGCACAAGAATTTTAAAACACACTGCGTACATATGGTCAGTTTTGCAATTTACTTATAAGTTTTTATCGTCGAACATGCGAACACTGTTTTATTGCATCATAAAAATTTATCGAATAACATGGCTTAGCAATAAGTACTAAAATTATATTCTTTGTTGTTTCTTTGTCATATTTTTACTTTCTAAATATAATCATGAATAGAATTTATTATTTTTAATTTCATATTCTTCTTCATTATTTACAAAGTCAAAAATTTATGAAGACGTTATAATTGTGGAGTTATGTTAGTTGTCAAGCGGTCATCAACATGTCAAATCAGCGCGTCCTTAATTGCCACTGTCATCTCTAGATGCTATTAAGATAGGAATCATTGTGTAACAAACTGTCATTTAGTTACTGTACCAGGGAGATTACACATATGAAAAACACCTAGTAAAATTGTTAGTTAATATCCACTTACCTTAACTTGTTAATTTGGGCAAGTCTAGCAATGGTCTCTATGTGAAAAGCAATTAGCTATCCCTAGGGCAGTTTCCAAAATGTACTCTTTTGAAAAAAAAAGTTACGCAAGCTATATCGAATACTGGCTGATGATAATTACGTGTTTCATCACTGGAATTAGAAAAAAACATGCTTCAATGCAGTTTCAATGTCATATCATTTTACGGTCACTTTCAAATACTCGACGTGATTTATGTAACATAAATGTCAACCTCCTATTTTCGAGGTCCTTTTTTACCACACCTTTTTACTTTGATATACGATAAATAAATAACGTATTCAACAGAAAGGTTTGTTATACTTACAATACAACTAAATCGCAAGTCGATCCTGAACGATGAACAAAACATGCTAATTACCTGTAACGAAACAAAAAAAAATATTAGCAATATTAGTCTAATTGTTAAATAATAGTTAAAGTAATGCGTGCAAGTTTCCTTTTAATTTAAAAAAAATCGAAAAATCGTTTTTTTTTATTTCAAAATCGATCTCGCAATTCGAATATATGCACGTCTCTATACGTGTTCGATGTAGAGAATACGTGACGTAAACACCGTGAAGATAGGTCGGTCGTACGATTGCGCCGCTGACCCGCCAACCAATCACAGCTAATAAACACAAATTAGCCCTTAATGGGACAGATGGACAAACCAACTAATAGCGCCATATAACAACTGGGTCAATCTCACTGGCCCTTGAATGTTATTAAAGACTTTGATCGGAATGTTTTATTCATTGAATGTTTCAAAAGAAATAATTTAATTAATGCGTTATAAGACATGAATATTTTATCAGCTCTTGTAAAAGGGCACATAAAGATAAAACTATGTTAAACTGTTTTTATCTCCTAAAAAAAAACATACAGATGAAAAACTCATAACCTCCTTCTTTTTGTAGTCGGCTAAAAATATAGAATTATATTTCCTTATTAATCGTTACGAAACAAAACTAAAGGTCATTGTCAAAAATAGAACTTTTAAAAGAAAATCAATTTGAATTGTGCACATTCTTTTATAAGTTTAACTTGACCTTTTAATCAAAGCGCCGACAATAAGACATCAAAGCGTTCAATCAACTCCTTGAAATGATTAAAAATAGTTTCACAATCAATGGGCAATAGGATGGAAAGGGCGCCGACGAATTGTTACCGATTCGATTCGGCGCAGAACGCTCGCTTGCACAATACGAGTTAATGACGTTCAAGGATCCGATATATCGATACTGACATCTCGATTGTGCTTAGACTCGAGGGGATATACATCAAATGCTCAAGTAAAGTTCATGGTTATGATATAGCGAAAGTTGTCGACTCCCCTTCGCAAGGTGAATTAGGTTGGTATCAAATAATTCATCATAATTGTACACAACCGCTGCCTAAGGCGCTTTGATTGATCGCGACGTAGCACAAATAAGACTGATTCTTGTTGCTTGTTGGTCTTTATAATCATGATAAAATAGGCCTACTGAATCGGCCGCAATTACAAAATCGCCAATTCCAACTAATGGTCCTAGCTTTGAATGACGCACAAATGGATTTCGAATGCGCGGTTTTCCCGACTACGTGACAGATGCCCAAAGCGAAACTAATTTACTATTAATAACGAAATTAGTATACTTTTGTTATCATTCCAACATTAAAAGTGAATTGAAAAAATAATGCAATCAATAAAATGACATGTTATTTTCTTTAATAAAAAATATTAGCAGATTTTTGTAAATTTACTAATATTTCTTGTACCATTCCAACTAAGCTCTATGCTTGTGCTAGAATATGGTTTACGACAATAGTCGAATGTCGGGATTTGAACCCCCGACCTCGTGATCGGGAATCCGCACCCTTAACCATTAGGCTATTGACGCGTTATATTTACACATTTTTAAATACATTGAAAGTTTATTTGATTGTTTTAATACAATGCAATATGAATATTAATAAACTGAAAATAGATTATAAATCCACCGTGAGAATGGTATATAGTAGTTATTTTATAGTATAATCAATTAAAACCAATTCTAACATTTCTGTTTGTAGTATAAGTGATTTAAAAAATGAACAATAACATAAAAATTATGCAACAAATATACTTTATGCGGTCATAATATTGATTTTATATTACAATAAAGCACTTGACTTGCAATCTACAGGTCCTGGGTTCGAATCCCGCCATGTACCAATGTGTTTTTCGATTTCCGATTTACATCTGTAAATTTATCCGACGTTCTTAGGGTGAAGGAAAACATCGTGATGCAACCTGCACATATCTGATAAGAAATTCAATTAGATGTGTGAAGTCAACCAACCCGCACTTGGCCAGCGTGGTTGACTATGGCCTAATCACTCTGAACTTAGGGTAGGCTCCGAGCCCCTCGGTGGGGACGTATAGCTGATGATGATGATGATGATTACACTTAAAAACTGACTTACCACTGTAAAAACAATAAAACATAATGAAAAAATATCAGATATATCTCTTATTTAAAAATCTAAATAAGTCAAAACGATTACAACCTGTATAAACTGTTTAATTACTCAAGTTACAAGTTAAATGCTTAATAAACTTGAACACCGATAATAAGAGATAATTTGCGGCGCGCAGAGAAGAGCTCAGTCATTACGTATCATCAGTTATGACGCTTACTAAATTGCATGTCACCGTCGTATAAATAAAAATGTGTCAGATGCAATGATTTACAGCCCTACTAGCAGTTGAATGAAAATAAAGAGATTTACCATTGTGTCATGTGTTAATTCAAAGAAATACGTCAAGAAATCGTGTATAAAATTATAATAATAGCCCATGACGTTGTAATTCTCAATATTATGACTACGGTGCCCTTATTCTGCGTTATTACTATTATTTAGGTGTGAAACTGTCAAGGCCTTGATATAATCAAATGTTGACACTTTCCTATTTAACCGTAATCGACCTTGACTTATCTACACGTTGCACAATGCACGGGAGTCGAACCGACAGCAGTTCGTGCGACAGCCGTCACACAGGCCGTGACCACCGCGTCCTCGCAGCCGCTCACCGTCAGCCCTACAAACATGACGCCTGTTGCATTTACGAGATCGTGTCTACTATCTACTATCGGTGTCGGATTCGGGTCGCGTTCAAACACCGCACAAGGTTATACCACTAAGTGCAACATTCACTTATTTTAATATGACAAGATACAATTATGTTATCGAGAAACGCGAATAATGTTATCCATCATAATATACATGACCCAATTATTATTTTAAGTTAATCAAATTTAATTTCTTACCTATAAATAATGCATTTTTTTGACCAGCTTTAAAGCTATGTTAATACGAAACCAATATAACTCATAACAAGCCATAATAACTCATTAAAAATAATAATAATGTAAGCAATATAAAACAATAATGGAATTAATTTAATATTAAGCAAATAAAATAAGGACTCAGTACATGTGTACGTAATCACGCGATTGCACACAGGAATTGGGTCGAGGAAGTGCATCTGGGCAATGGACTAACGCGACGGCGCCCAGTCGACGCCGAGACGCCGTCGAGTCGCCGCCGTGACACCGACCGCAGCCCGTGACCAATGAATACATTGTTATCACTACCACTGATTCCAAACACGAATACGATTAATTAATAACCAAGCTCTAGAAACTAGACCGCAGTTAAAACGCTCAGTAACATTTATTGAACTAGGTATTAGAACTAAAAGCAGTAGCTCTCTCGTGACTACTGATAGAGATTGTTATCGTTTATCGTATCTTTGTTCCTTATTGTTTAGTTGCTTACTTATATAGTAGGTCGTCGAAGATAAATTCTAAAATGTTTATCAATGCCCAGTTACTATCAGAGTAACCCGGCGCACGTTTTTTTTCTGTAGTAAAATTATATTAAAAGCGAAAAGCGTATTCTGATTCATCTGTAAACAGACAAAATACCCTCATCAAAGTCACTGAGTAATGTAAATCGCAATCACATAAACACATTGCCGTCAGAAACAATACGGAAGAGAAACATTTTAAAAACGTTAAACTTTTGTGATCGCATTTAACATGGACATTTAAAAGCAATCAAGCCAAATGTAGTGTCGGCCGAGAATAAATTAAGCACGAATACAGGACGTGTCAACATCGAGTGTCGGGTTTAACGAACAGGAACAAATATAGGATGATGTCATTACGGCGCCGCCGTCAGCGAGGCCTTAAGATGGTCGCGATATCAACACAATAAACAGTATGCAAATGACGACAAACACAGCAAATGTCACATGTGTACACGGCACGAGACAAAGACTGTGTGGAGCGGCCCTTAAGGAGTTGTGACTGCAGATGTAGGCGATAGTGCGGCGGGCAGGCGGGCAAGCAGTGAGCAGGCGGGGGGAGCAGCGGCGTGCCGCAACACTTCCGCAATCACCGGCGGCGCCGCAGGGGAACATCTGCGCACGCTAAAGGTTAACTAGCGACATTAAGTGCATTTTTACCTCTCAAACGGTAAACACGATGATGGGAAAAGCGAATGGGGAAATGGATTGCGGCGCAATCACTGCCGTTAGCTTAACTCATATAAACTTACACAATTTCTTTTATTCGCTTCTTTGTAAACTTGAAACGCCTGAGAACAGTAGTAATCAATGTCACAAATGTCAAAAATAGCTTAATCAAAACAAAAAACATAAGTAAACATAAATAAAACATACGTAACTATAACAAAACGGAGCGCACCTAACTCATACGCATTGGCATCACGAGAAGCGATCGAGTTTACCGTAAGGGACCCGATTACGTCGCGAATAAATCGCGAGCGGCGGACGCGACCCGAATTAACGGTAACGCGCCGAATTCGGTCGCCACCGCCGCTGCTGCGCTCTGTCAATTATACCTCACGTAGATTGATCGACGACTAGACAGGCCTCATAGGATACCTAGGATATACCGTTCATTGAAATGTGCTACAATAGTGCCTAGATTCAATATTTATCACCTAACAGTACTCAAAGATAAATAAGGTCAAGCACTATATCAGTCATAATTAGGGGATGAAAGAGCCAATGCCATTTCTGGATGTTTGAAGATTTGTGAGACTTATAACCTGATTCAAGAGGAACTAAAAGATGAAAGGATAAATTAAGAAGAGTAATCGCCATATCTTATGATATCTATTTTTTAACTTCTGTGGCGTTATTTAACCTAATTACATTGTTTTATTTTATCGCTCTTCAATTCGCTATGCTTTCTGTGCGTCATTAACCTTATGGTGACCGCGGCTAACGGGCCGTCACATCATTTCTCATTTCTTTACATATCAAGAATACAAAATAAACTCGTGGGAACCACCAACCTTATAATAATAGCCGTGCATTTTTACCGC